CCTTCGGCGTTAACGCCACCTTCACTTACACTCGACGCCATCACGGAAGCATTTCTTCATCACTGGCCATAGTCCAACCCCTCAACTTGACGAACAAAAGACCTTGCGGCAAGGAACCTTTGACATCACTTGGCATGCACCTGTTGATTCTAATCTCCGTGTCTTACAAGCCATTGATAGGCCACTACCAGAAATCTATCGCCGAGTGGCTTGAACGACAGACGAATTCTATGGATCTGACATGCAGCAGGATTCTTGCCCTCTTATATCATAGAACAGTTGAATTAGACTCGAAGCATACAGACCGTCGGGCTATAAGAGACAGGATGGTTCCGCTTCTATTGAGGTAAGGCCTTCATTATCATCAACACATTAGAACAATATCTTCACATTATCTTGACTATAAGATAAATCTTCTCGACTTTCGATACTTAATCAATCCTCCGCTTTACTACTTGAATCGAAATACTGCACCTTCACCATGGATTCTCCGGTCTGGTTCATCACTGGCGCCTCCTCAGGGTTCGGCCTCGCCATTGCCAAAGAAGCTCTCTCGCGTGGCCACCGCGTCATCGCGACCGCCCGCAACCCAGCCAAGATCTCTGACCTGGCCTCCGCGGGCGCCGATACACTCCCTTTGGACGTCACTGCCGACGAAGCTACCATCACAAAGACTGTTAACAAGGCCTTTGCCATCCACGGCAAAGTGACCCACGTCATCAACTCAGCCGGCTACATCCTCGAAGGCACCATCGAGGAGGCCAGCGCCAAGGAAGTCTTTGACCAATACAACACCAACGTCCTCGGCACTTTCAAGGTCTCCCGCGCAGTGGCCCCTCACCTCCGCGCCCAGGGCTTCGGTGCCGTCGTCAACATTGGAAGTCTCGGTAGCTGGAAGAGTGGTCCGGCCTTTGCCATGTACTGTTCCACCAAAGCTGCCGTTAGCCTGCTCACCGAAGGCTTCCACGACGAGCTGAAGCCGTTCGGTATTGATGTCTGCATCCTTGAGCCGGGTTACTTCCGTACCGGTTTCCTGAACCCAGGTGCACGCAACAAGGTTGAGCAGTCTGTTGAAGCGTACACCGATAGCGCAGCGGGCCAAGTCAGAAAGGTGCTGGAAACCGTCGATAACAACCAGCCTGGTGACCCGATCAAGGGAGCGCGTGTGGTCGTGGATGTTCTGACCAAGTCTGGGGTTGCTGAGGGTCGTGAAATCCCTCAGAGGCTGGCCTTGGGCACTGACTGCCTTGCAGTTGTTCGAGAGAAGTGTCAGAGCACCATGGCTCTTCTCGATGAGTGGGAGTCGATCTCCGCTTCGACCGACTTTTAGCGGCTAGGTCACTCGGCGGACTTTTTCAAGGCTCGTGAGTTGATTTTGATATTTTGATGGCTACAATGAGGGAAACAAAGAGATGTCACTGTAGCATACGAATTTGATAAAACTATGATTATTTTATAACTACCCTAATTGAATGAATTCAGGTGGGCCTTACGACTCCTCAGCCAGACAATCTCATGATAATTGCTAATATTGATATCTTTGCATCGAAAGTCGTAAAGCTGACACCTTCATCCCCTTCGTTTGTGAAACGTGTGATTTTTTGCGAAGAAGTCATTGGAAGCCTCAAGAGAATTAAATCCCCATTTCTACCTGATCTGCAAGTATGTTGGAAGGCTGGCGGGTGACATTGAGGAGCTGCTTGGCAAATGCTTGATTCAAAGCTTATTCGCGTTTAAATCATCAACATCATGCATCTCATGACTCACGTAGAGCTATAAATGGTCCTATTTCGCCTGAAGGGACTGATTAGATCACTTGAGATCTACGATCGGTCGCCAACGAACATTCAAAGTATGAAGTCATTATGTAAAGTGCCTCACGATTTCTACACAGCCTGGAAAGGAAAGTGAGGCCAACATCATATTCGGGCTATATCCGCTAATCTAGCTAGCTATCTCTCCACCACAGAGTGAACCTCATTTTTGGAACATCATAGTTGCTCATGTCTGTCTAGCCCCAGATCTCGCACTTGGCGTGGCACGCGGTAGAAACGCGACCGACGCTGTAGCTGAACATTCCGCCCATGGCACAAACCGGGCCGGGCTCGCAGTAGACGCCCTCAATCGCGGCGTCGGGGGCGCCGTAGTAGACGACTTCTGTAGTTCTGCATTGGCTGCGGGTACCGAATTCCTTGGCCATCGATGCCTTCAGCTCTGCGGGGATGGGCTTGTCGCAGGTATCGAAAGGCACATAGCACTTGTACTTGTCCCTTGGCTGGTTCTGGGCCAGAGCGCCTGAAGCTGCGCAGAGGAGGGCAGCGAATGTGAGAGAGCTGAACTGCACTGAAAAGATGTTAGACTCGTGGTTTGAAGATGTAGCCAAGGCATACTTAGTACGTACTGTTGGAATTTGGGGTGGTGATATCTAAGTTGCAAAGGACAAAGATTGTAAAGAGTGACAGTAGTTTGACTGAGGTTGTCCTGTGATAGTTTGGGAGTGTTCTAATGAAGACCTGAGTGTACATGCACTTTTGAGGGTGTAATCTTGAGATTTATACTCAAGTTCTGTAAGCTCTCGACGAAGTCGGACCGAGGCTGTCCAGAGAATAGGCAGACTAATCATGGCGCAATACGCACAATTGAGCTCGCAGGTTAGTTCGTGGTTTAGCGGTCCTTCTGTAAGTTTCTTTCGCCTCATCTCGGCCTTCTAGATTGCCTCGTTCAATCCTCTTTTGGCATAGCATCGGCCCTGGAACAGGTTGACAAACGAGAACGACGAAGGAAACTTCATTGAGGACTTTATTAGCAAGAATTCAAGTACAAGAGTCAACCGATTATGAAAACATATTAAATGAACACGAACAGGCTAAGTGAATGTTGTTGAAGGGGACTTTTGACTCCAATGCACTATGCAATTTCGGCCGCCTTCCTCCTTTAGGCTGGTAAAAGGGAATCTGAACCCCGACGGGATATTTTTGTATGACTGTTGAGCAGTTGCCGCCTACTTTCAACTTCATTGAATCCTAAAATGAGCTATACTGTTTGTGTTGGTTATCTCGGCCCAGCCGAACCTTGAGGGATGCTGGTTTAAGCTCTATCTAGCGTAGTTGGTAATCCTTCGTCTCACCACGTAGGGTTTTTTCTAAGGCAAAGACTGAAAGTTGACCTGTGCATACGAGTTGTACAGTTAGAGACACACTGAATTGCCTAAATGCTTCGCACGTTTTAGGGAAGGCCAACTCTATGAATAACAAACCTAGATTTATGAATGCGAACTTACACCGGGATGCTTTCGAACTTCATTCCATTGGCGCCGACGGAGTGAGAATGCCGCGGCCTGTTTGGAACTTCTCACGGCTTCGCGTAGGAGAAGCTTCATGATTGTGAGTTGAGCGAGTTCTCTTGAAGTTGTCGCCGAGCGGATTCTGGCCTTAAAAGGGAGCCTCTTTCGCCTGCCAAGAGTCATCTTCTCTAACCTCATCACCACAGTCTCTCACTCCTTGAACACACAATCATTTGAATCTGACCATTTTACAATCTTTCAACATGCGCTTCTCTGCATCAATTCTCACCGCCGTGGCCTTGGCGTCCATGGCCATGGCTCTTCCCACCGAGCTCCAAACCGTCGACTTGGCTGAGCGTGACTTCGTTGTCGAAACGCGTGATCTCTCCGGCCCCTCGTCTTCTGACGAGCTTCTCAGCCGTGCCACCTCCGATGAGACTGCCATTGAGATCCTTGAGCGAAGCGACTCGGACGAGGAAGCTGTTCCCAACACCGAGCTGGCCGTTCGCCAGCTTCCTCCCTCCAAGCGCAAGAATCTCTTCACGATCACCCTAAAGGGCGGCAACGTCATCTTCAACGGCGCCATCAAGTTCATTCTCGAGGCCGTTGTCGATAGCACCAACCGAGTCACTACGTTCCACCTCAACCCCTTGGTTGGCGGTACCCCTGGCTCCACCGCTTCCATGCGCAGCTACGAGTTCAAGAAGAACTTTTTCGAATCAACCATCAACCGCGTCTCTGCTGAGGTTTCCTTCACTTACAAGACCGCTTCCGGTGTTATCTACAACTTCCTCGCCAATGTTGTCTACGGAATCGACTCTCGTCTCAGCCTCAAGCTTGAGGATGTCCAGCTCTTCGACATCGAGAAGGCTACCCAGCAAATTGCTGGCAAGGCGGCCACCAACCTGTTCCTTGGTTCTTACGATGATGATTACAAGGACTTGTAGATGAAAGTCTACAAGAACTTCCAAGAACTTATGGCCGAGGTCCCCCATCAATCATACGTTGTCAGTTGTTAATGAAACCCTTTTTACTCTACAACAGCTCAAGCCACCGACCAAAGTAGATGGGGGACGGCCTAATTGTTTGGATTACGGCTCCTGAGGATCAACGTGGATTGGTATCTGTCTCAATCAGTAGTCTCTTAATTTCATGTTACGGAAAGATGTTGGGAAACTTAAAGATACGTGGATAGATTTCCAATTGATTCTCTATGTACCATTTATTTACCGTGAGTAAGATGTCTCTACCACAAACTCTGGTTGATGGAATGTTCAGTCTTGGATTCGAAGTGTGTGCTAGAATTGAAAACTCCACGTTACTAATCAACAAAGCAGGCGCCTGGACTTCTTGTCACATCCGGCCTTGCGTATAATTCCACGACTAGGTTTACAAAGCTTGGCGTCTGTTTTGCTTGGTGGATACCAGCGGAAATATTGTCACACACTGTGGAAGTTGGTAAATGCTACTAGTACCGACATTTTGTGGGCAAGTGGTGTCAACAGTGAGATCCAAGTGGCCCGCATGTCAAACTCGAATAAATCCATTGAGCCTGCTTCTCACCCACTCCTTTCATTTGGCCTTTGCATATCCTCAGCTTCACTCACAACTTGGATCCCCTCCTTTGCGACGTTGGGTTTCTTTCCCTGTTTCCAAAGCTTGTCTTCTTGCGCAACTCGTTATCATCGTAGAATAGCAATCGCAATAGCCTGCGAACATGGCAGACAGGAGTATCAAAGGTTCTTATGAAGATGACTTCCGGTATCTTTCAGTTCCTCGCCCAGCCCGGGGCTACCATTCCGACAACGAACTACGGCAGAAAAAAAGGACCACACCCCAACCGTCGTCACCTGTCATACAAGTGAGATCTCAAAGACAGAAGCATCATTCCACAGCTGTGGAGTCTGGCTACAGTAGCCCATTTGCAGAAGCACGCTCTCTCCAGAACAAGGGGCCTATGCATCGGAACAACGTTGCATTTGGCCTTGTAACGAACAAACCCTTGGTTACGCAGCCGCGCTCTACTAGCGCATGTCGGGGCTTCGGCAACAAAGTCTATCATTATAGATAACTCGGCAGAGACAAGTTTCGTTTGATCAGAGTTCTCCCGGCAAGGACCTCCACAATAAAGCTCGAAATATTGCACGGATCCATAACAAGCCCACCAACTTCGTTACTATATCTTACGCCTGGGGGCGATCCGGGAGACACCAAACGTTTAGAACTCGATGGCAAAGAAATTTGTGTTTCTTCAGCCTTCGTGGCGCTATGAGGGCATTTCGACAACAGAAAGACGCAGTCCTCGTATGGGTGAACGTACTCAGCATTGACCAACAAAACTCTGTAGAGAAGATGCAGAGAATTCAGCTCATGACCAGAATCTACAGCTCGGCCAAGTCTGTCGCCATCTGGCTGGGACCTGAAGCAGATGAGAGTGGCACTGCCACAAGGGTTTCAAGAGAGGTTGCTCGGAAACCAGATGTCAGAGACTTCACGTCACTTGATTCATCGGGCAAGAGGAAGGCTGAAGTTCGCGTTGCCATCTCTCTCTTTGAGAGGGATTATTAGAATAAAGTGTGTGTTGTTCAAGAGGTATTCAATGCGCGCGAGGTTGTGGTTCACTGCGGCTGCGTTGTTCTTCCATGGAAAACTTATACGGACGCTGCCAGTGTTTTCCGAAGCAATAAGAAGGTTTTGAACCGCTACTGTCTGGTACTGAACAATGAGAGACCTAAACAGGTCTTTCATAGAATCACTTCACCTAATGTACGCGGCAATCCTAGCAAGCCATGGCCCTTCGAGTCTTCTTAAGAGTCGACCCCTTACTGGGTTCATTTTTGGCGAGTACTCTTTGTTGGAAGTGATGAGAGCATGCAGTAACAAAGGGGCGACTGATCCAAAGGATCAAGGTTTTGGAACTTTGGGACTGCTCTCTGAAATGCTACGAAACGACATCAGAGCCGATTACAACATGACTGTAAAGTCAACTTATGCAGCGACAACGGAATATTTGGATGCCATATGCGACTCTATTCTTTACCCACTGTACGCAAACGCTGGCCTTCCTTCCTGGGTCCCTGACTGTTCACACAATCCCGGCACAAAGGCTATCGGCCCCATGAACCTCAGCCCGAAGTTTACGGCATCTTGAGGCCAGAGGGCCAGAATTGTGTCCGATGGCAATTTGCTGGAAATAAATGGCGCCGAAATCGATACCCTGACGTGGAGGGTATGTTTATCGAGATAATGGATATTCGACTAAGGAAAGGAAAGGGAAGAGTAATTTTGTGAGGGCCAGGGAAGAGTGATTGCCGCGTTTTGAGCAGGCGATGAAAGATTGGGAGAATTAGGACTAATAGACCTGGATCTCTGAACAAGTGTCATTGCATCATTGAATGCTATAGAACGGCCGTTGTCCGCTTTCTCGACTTGCATATGTATTCAATGAGAAATCTACTCTCAAATAAGAGAGACTAGATGTCTGTAATATTGCAGGCAATTCCAGTCTGCGTCCATGCGGTTGCCAGCATCTTTAACCGTTGATCAATGATAGGGCCATCCCAGTCATGTCGAGATTGGTACCATTCGTCCGGGTTGTTGTCCTCATCGACTCTCACGTGCAGGTACTCGGCTTCAAACTTCTTGAACCACTTGGAGGTCTTTCCAATGACTAGCCCAACGTGAACGCAGTCGGTTTGATCTATGACATACTTCAAGTAGGCATCCCGCGTGTGATAATGATTGCGATACGCCGGGTTGCAGGACATGAAATAATACACTTTGCCGTGCTCAAGTGGGCTCCCTACGAGCTTCTCTGCTTCCCTCCAAGCTTTACTTTGGTCTCGAGAGAAAATGCCGGCTGAGCTGAAGGTGTCGGTGCGTGTAGCGACTGTCTGAGCCGGATTGCGGACGGAGACCTCCGCTTCGGGCGCAGTGTTCGGTACGGCGAGGCCTGACGCGATAACGCAATAGGAAAGAATGTGTAGAAACTTCATCTTAGCTTAGATCGATTGCAAGTATACCTAAAGAAGGATATCCAATCGAGAAATATGGTAAAAAAGCGACCGATAGCGGGGTGCATAAAACCCAGGACACGAGTAAAACTATCTGATGGAGTCGAGAGGCCAGGAGGCTGCAATGCCCCTTTTATCATTTTCATCCGGCTCCATGCCAATAGCTTAGAATGTCACTGACTTCTTTGTAGACGCTTGTGAGCCTCGCGCGATACGAGAAAGACTGAACGAAAGGATACATGATTGCGGATTTGTTCTCGCACCTGTAGCAAACTCAATTAGATAGGGTTAGTTGCTTGCCAGTCCTCTGTGGGTCTCTGACATATAGGTGCGGATATTGCCGCTGTGTACTCAACCTGCTAAAGCTGATTTATTCGGCTGTTCTTACGCTTGGCATTTCCAGGTCAAAGTACTGTTGCACAAACCCTCGGGCAGGTAGACTGCTGCCCGCAAATGCACGGCCAGGAATTAAACTTACCCATCAGACCATAGTATAGTTTGATTGCTTAATATGGACTTTCGTATCGCTCATGTCCGATGCCTCTGGAGCTTGTTCGTCTATAGAACTTCCAGCCTCAGGTCATGCACTTCTTCTGGCTTGAATAAATATCATAGTATTTCCACTTGGAGACTACCTTCATCGGAGTAACACCGTCTATCCAAAGAACTCATCATAGCCCGGGTCCGCCATGGCACTTTTGACTTCTTTCCTTGTTCTATCCTTACTCGGCATCGCCAACGCAACGCCCTCTCAACCACCGCCAAGTCATTGGAGGCGCGGTGGTGATGTGGCAGTCGAAGATAAATGGTTGGACCACAACAAAATAGTCGCCTTGGAGGAAATCCCTGGCTATGATCTTACCGGAGAGATCGAGACTACCTTCAGACCGCTGCTTCATTCGTACTCAGGATGCATCCCGTACCCTGCAGTCGACGCCAATGGTAACGCTGGGTACGTGAACCTTTTAGACGAGAAGTCGATCCCGGTATCAAAGCTAATATAGTTACTTTTTTTTTTAGTGCTGGCTTAAGACCAACTGGCAAGGCGGGCGGCGATTGTCGTGATTTTGGGCAGAGCGGTCAAGTTTACGCCAGAGTTGGAAAGTCTCACGGGAGATGGGGTGTGATCTACAGCTGGTACTTGCCCAAGGTTATGGGTAAAGAGCAGCAGCATAAACACCACTGGATCACTGCCGTCGTATGGCTTCGCGTCGACGGATGCCCCGATCTGATCTACAACTTCAAGTCTCTTGGTGTTGCATACTCTAAGAACCCCCAGAACAGCTTTGATGTCACACACAAAGACAGCGATACCATCTTTGTCAAGTTGAACGATGGTGGTTCAGCAACCAACCCTATCGTAGCATATGACAGCGGAGTGCCTCTTGTGCCCTCTCGAGAGGGCGCAGCGGGCGCTTTGAGTAACCCACTTATCGACTGGCATCGTCTCCCTCAGCTTGCACAGCAACAGCTAAACGGAATCCAATACGAGCACACGCAGGTCCCATTCAACGATGCAAATTTCCAGGGCACGCTTGATGCCGCGTACAGCGACGCTCTATACACCAACGTGCCGGTAGAGAGTGGCGAATGTGAGACTGACCCAACGGAGGCTGATATCGATCCGGACTTTGGATTACCAGAACCTTCATCTACCGCGAAGCCGGTCTCTTAACCTGAGCCAGCTGATCTGAGATAGAAGTCGAGAGTCAAGCAATAGCCTAGAATATCAGCCAGTGTTCATAGCGCAAAAGACTGCAGTTGGAGTTTGGTTCACAAACAGCCTTGGTGACAGGATGATAACACCAGCGCGGGTCGCCTTGATCAGTTGAATCTGCAGACATGGCCGCAGTGCCGCTTCTAAGTGCTTTTGGTGGGCTATGCAGTGAATTTGATCACACTTTTATTCGGCATGCCCTGCATTAGTGATCGTTCCCACTGTTGGCAGGCTACGATGTTACAGAGAGGTCATATTGCGGGTTTCTCCTGAGCAAGCACCAGTTCTCACTAGTCATGAATAAACTTATACTCTGCCTCCATATCGTTATTCCAAGACGTCTACTTCGTCTATCTAATCTCTTCGCGTTTGCTTCCCTGTGGCAGTATCTCCTACTACCAATGACTGATGTTGTCCCCTTCTGACGAGCACAGGCCGACTGTAGAAGACCGATCAACTCTATGAGAGGAACATTGCAATCTATATACCCTTTTCATAGCTTTTGGTAGGACAGTCTTACAAAAACCCAGTTCCCGCGTGGCCAAGAGCGCTGCACCCAGTGCACTTCCTAGATTATCTAACGCTATTGTACTATTTGTTTTTGGAGATACCAGCTCATCAATCGAAGGTCGGTTCGAATCACCTTGAAGCAACAAATTTCTTGACCTACTAAACACAGCGTTTTTGTTGACTCGGTAAAACTAAAAACCCTTAAAGACTTTTTGAAGTTAGAAGAAATGTTCTAAACTTCATTAGGAAAATGGTTCTCATTTATTACTTAAATTGAAAACTTAGATGCTGTTATATCTTAGAAAAGTCTATTTGAATGGTTTTTCCTTCATAAAAGCCCGCCTCTCAATCTCTCATTCTTTATCTTAATAGATGCTATATACTAAAGCCACCTCAAGGTGGCCTCATAAGGGCTGTGCTCTTTTCAAACTACCAGAGGTGAAAAGCCCCGAGGAGTGGGCGACGGCTTCCAACCATGTCTTTACGTCGTTGCTGCGTGAACGTCTGCCTAAGCTCCCTCTTGACCAAGAACTTAAGAAATACGTCGACGCTACAACAACGATCGGACCACAGAATCGACGATAATTTATCCAATAACACTTTGGAGACCATATAAGAGGACGTTGCTACTACGTCACAAGCGAGGGTCCCCTCGGGATAGATTCAGGCTACATGGCTGTTGGTGATGCCGTTGTGCTATTTGGTTGCTCTACCCCTATTATTATCTGTCTAGAAGTATCGGATTAGAAGTCTAATCCAACTACGGCATATAGCTAACTACGCAGGGGCTAATTAGGGGCCCTATTTACGATTATTATAACTAGCCTAACTTATAATTAGAACCTCTTTTTTATATATTATATAGAAATTTATATAATTTAATTAATTTTTTTATTAACTTATAGTTCGAACTAACTATTTTATATAGTAGTTTTTTTTCCGGCTTTATAAGTATAAAAAATCGACCTTAACGGGATTACGCTTTTAAGGGAAATTATATAATATAGTATACTTTTTAACTATATAATACGCGTAATATATTTTAAGTACGCGCTTAACGTAATATAGTAATTTCGATACGAAAACTACTATTTAATTTAGGATAAGTAAGCTACTTTTTATATAGTAGCACTAGCTAAAAAGGTTAATAGTAGAGGTTAGCTATAATAGTTAGTTATAATAGTCGGCCGTAATAGTTAGCTATAATAGTCAGAGGCGGCCCTTAACTACAGAGGTTCTAAACTTTAATAATAACGTAGAGGTTTCTAGAGAAAGGGCTAAATAGGCTAATATCTACTACTCTTTAGAGCTCGCAGAGATTCTTTTTATTCTTATCGCTTTTAATATCGCCCAAAGCTACTCTCTATTTAAACTAAATAAATCTACTAAACAAATCCACTAAATAAATCTACTAAATAAATCTACTAAACAAATCCACCAAACAAACCCATTAATATATAAACCACTACCTGGATAGCTAGTTAAATAACTAGTTAAGAGGTTAGCCAGTTAAAATACTACCTCGACGAGGACCTACTCTAAAGATGCCCGTTAACAAGTCTACCCCTCTCGGGCTAAGCGCCCTCTTCGGCCAGCTCGATACTATAGCTATCGTAGCTAACGTAGGTACGCCTAAGAAGTGGCAAAGTACCTTCTGGGGGTACGGAATTTAGCTAGGTAATATTATAAGCGCTATAGATAGCTAGGTTAGTACGGATACTAGGATCTAGTATATTAACGCTAGCTTAGTTATAATAGCTACGATAAACGGGCTAGAGGTATATAGGGTTAGGGTAATAAGCCAGCGCCTTAAATAGCTCCTATAGGACCCCCTAGGTAACAATAATACTTATATAAAAAAATAGATTATACTAGACCTAGCTACTTATGCGGGCTAGTACTAAGAGGTCCTATGCGCGTTAAAGTAAATAAAGCTTGCCCTATAAATAAGCGGTAGAAGGTTAGGAGCTATTAATAAAAAGGAGATAATAGTCGAGTTAGTTAACTACTATTTTAATTAGTAGTTAGGTATAGAGCGTAATATACCTAGTTTTCCCTAATACGTAATATATAATACGGCCCCGGCGGATTGCTCCGTTAGGGGGCGAACTAACTATTTTATAATAAGAATATTAATACTAATTAGTAATTAAATTTTATTATTATAAATTAGTAAGGTATCTCGCTACGTAAAAAAGACGACTTTTTAATACCGTACGGGATAAGAAATTCGTATTAATTAACTTTATAAAAATAAATAAAAAAAGAGGTAATTTTCGAATACTATACGGAATTAAGTAATTATAGCCCTTTATTATTTACGAGAGGTTAATATTTACTATGTTAAATTATATTAATTAACGGAACTACTTAAGTAACTAGTCTTTTATTATTACTTTAAATAGCTTTTTTATTAAATAACTTTTTTATAACCGGCCTATAATTAGAAATTAATTAGTTAAATTAGTAAAAAAAAATACTTATATAGTAACTACTTACTTAACTAATTAATATAACGAACGAGCTTAATAATATAATATAAAAAAGTATTACGTACTTAAAAAAAAGGATCTCTAAACGTAAATATTTTTATTTAATAATAAAAGTAACTTTATAAGAGTTATAAAATTAAGAGATTTATAATATATAGAAAAGTTTATTATTATAAGGATCTTATAAATATAATTATAAGCCCGTAATTTAAATAACCTCCTCGTAGCTCTTTTAACTATCCTTTAGGTATTATTTAAAAATATAATATAAGGGATAGTTTTATAAAAGAGGAAGGGATTTAAAGGTCTTAATAATATTAAGTTAAGAATATTACGGATCTCGGAAATTAACTTAAAAAAAAAGTAGCTATTTTAAAATAGTTTTATAACTTCTTACTATAGTTATTATTAATTTAAAAAAAGGCTAAGAAAACGAGGATCTAAGGGGAAAAGAAAAGAATTTTTAGAGAGTTACTAAAGAGTTTTTTTTTTATATTAGCTCTTAATACGAAATTATTAATTTTAAGAAATTAACTAAATAATAAAAAGAATTATTAATAAATAATAATTACTTAATAATAATTAAGTTATAAAAAAGACTATTTAAAAAATATAAAATAAAGTACTAAGAAGTAATTAAAAGAAGATTTTTAAAGTAATTAGCCCTATTTAATATAAGTAACGAAATAATAAGTATTTTTAATAAGTTTTTTAAATCCTCGATTTTATAAAAAAGAGGGCCTAATTTTATTAACCGTATTTAATAACTTATTTAGTTCTTAACTACTTATCTAGCTTTTTTACGAGCTACTTAGTATTTATTTTTAACTATTTTTTTAAAATACTATTTTAAAAAAAGTAAGTTAAGAAAAGAAATAATTTAGAAATTATAGAGAGTACGAGGCTTAGGAAGTTAAAGATATATAGAATAATAAAAATCAATAATTAATAAAGATCCCAAAATTAATTATTATATTTTTTTATAATAATATAAACGTTTATTATTATTATTAAAAAAGGAACTATTAAAACTTATTTTTTTATATTAAATAAAAAAGAAGATTTTAATAAGTATAATAGCTAGTAATTTAAAAAGGTAGTAATAATTATTAAAAATAGTAAAAATAAGAGTAATAGCAAAATAATAAGAAGAAATAGGAATTATTTAGATTTTAATAAATTCGTTAAGTAGTAAAAGTACGGATTTATTATAACTAATATACAAATTAAATATATCCTTATTAAAATTAAATATATTAGTAATTATTAATATAAATATAAGCTAGAGTACGACCTTTAATAAGTTAGGGTAAAAAAGAAAAAAAAAAACCCGATCTTAAATAAAATCCTAATCCTTTATAAATAGGTAAATATTAACTTAGATTATTAAAGGATATAAATATATAGGATTATAAATTAGCTTAATAATAAGTAAATTAACGTAGTATTAATCTATTTAACTAAGGTTTATAAAAAAAAGGGGCTATAGGGGTAACCTTTATTTTATAAAATCGTAAACGACCTTAGTTACTAACTAAATAAATAGTTTATAAGCGTAAGCTTAGGAATTATAAAAATAATTAATAAATTCTTTTATAAGCGAGGAGTATTATTAATATAATTATAATTATAAAAACTATATAAAATTTTAGTAGCAACGATTATAAAAAAGGAATTCGTATTATAGAACTAAGTATAGGTTAATAGAGCGTATAATTATTTTAACAAATTTAAAAAAAAAGTAAACGATTTAGATTTTTTTTTATAATTATTAATAATAATCTAGTATTATAAAAGGATATATAAAGGTAAAATATAATATTAAAAGTATAATAATTAATAATTTTACTTATTTCGATTTATAACTCGTCGCCGCTATTAATACGAAATTTAATATTAATTAGTTAATAAAAAAAGAAGTAAACGACCCGAAGTTATTAATATTACGTAATAACGTAGGGATCGTATATAAATATTAAAAATATAATAATAAATACGAAGTAATTTATAAATTTTAAAAAAATCTTTTTAAAAAAGAAATTATATTTTAAAAAGAAGTACGAGGTTTTATAAAAAACTTTAACAATATTTTACGATTATTATAAAAAAGTTAGGATTAGAGAATATTAATATTATTTAGTAATTAATATTATACTTATAAGTAAAGCCTCTAATTATTATTATAAAGCAGTACGTAATCTTAATTAGAACGACTTTTTTAATATTATTAATATAATCCGAAGTTATTTTAAAATTTATAATAAGAATTTAAAGTTCTTATTTAAGTTATAAATAATTTTTTTTATATTTATAACTAGGATAATAGAGGGTAAATTACGAATAAAACTTTTTAAAAAGCTTATTAATTAAATTAATAAGTTAGTAAAAACCTAATTAAATAAGGGGACTAACGAGCGAAAAGTTAAATATTTTTATATTATAATTTAGTATATATTAAAAATAAAAATAACCTCATACTAAGTACTTAAAAACTACGAAACGCTCTATTTAAAGCTAAGATTTAGTTTTAATATTAAAGCAAAAATACTATACTAAACCTACTTTTAAGCGTACGACGGCCCTTATTAATAATATTAAATCGACCGGATATATAATAAAAAAAGAAAAGAGATTAGGTATAATAATTACTAATTAGGAGGCCTAGACTTATTAAATAGGTAAAAATTTAATTTATAAATAAAATAATAAAAAAAGTAATATTTTATTTATAAAAAGGATAAATATTAGTTAAGTAATTATTCTAAAAAAGAGCGTACTAAATTATATAAATAGTATAAAAAGTTAAGGGTAATAAATAGTAAAACTAGCCCTTATTAATTTAGTTAATTCTTTATTATATATAAAAATAGATCTAGGGGTACGGAACTTAGTAATAGTAATTAAAATAGTAGCTTAGAGTATTCGCCCCTTATAAGAAATTTAGAAAATAAAAAAGATTTTACCCCCTATACTAACGAATTAGATTATAACGAAATTAATAATATTAACTACTCTTTTTTTACCCCGTTAGTTTTTAGAGGATATATAAAGCTAAATAAATAAAAAGTAATAAAAACTTTTAATAAATAGGTTTTTATTTATAAATAATAAGGGAAGGTTTTTTAAATAATAAATACGGAGGTAAATAAAAGGACGAATTTAATAATATAGAATTCTATTTTTTTAATACTTAAGGAAAAGATACTATTTTTATTAATATTAAAAAAAAAAGATAGTACTAAGTAATTCTAAAAGTAGTTAAAAGGGTCCTTTTTATATTATTTAGATTACTCGAGTACTAAGCTTATATAAGTATTTTATATAAATAAAAAGTACGGCTTAAATAATTTCTATAGTATTATCCTAAATACTAAGGTATTATAATAGTTAATAAAAAGAAAGGGGTAATTCTAAGTACTATAAAAAATCGCGTTAATAATACTTAATATATTAATAGCGGGTATTATAAAAATTAGTTTCGGCCTAGGTAAGAAAATCGTTACTTTAAATATAGTAAAAATAGAAACGTACTTTAAAATAATAATTTTTTATATTTTACCTATTAATACCCTATTTTTCTTATACTTAAAAAATATAAATTAACTAAGTATTATTTTTAATAATACGAGGAATAGAATCTTTAGTAATAAGTATTTTAAAATAGTTAAACAATAATAAGGGTATGCGTTTATAAGGCTTATTAATAATACGAAGTCGATTAATTACTTAATAAAAAATAAGCTTAGATAATTATACTAAAAATTCGGGTACTTATTAATTATAAGGCTATATAGCTTTTTAAAATAATTAAATAATAATAATATTAAAATAGGGGTACTAGAGTAATTAATAAAAGTATGTTACTAATGTTAAATAAATATATAGAGCTTACGTAAATTTAAATTTAAATTTAAATTATATAATAAGCTTAATTTTAATTAGGAAATCGTTATTAATATTTTATATTTAAATAGTCGACCGGTCTTATATATAATTAATAAGGTTATATTATTTTAAGTAGGGTAATTTCTTTAGGATTTATAAATAAAAATAATATAAGTAGCCTTATAAAAATATTAAATCGATATATACTAAGGACCGCTAAATAGTATTAGAACCGATATTAATACGAGTTTTAAATTAATAAAATTTAAAGAAAATACGACAGTTTATAGTATATAGTTAAAAGTTATACTTATAAAAGCGTACTATATTATTAAAAAAGTAAAAAAGGTATATTAATAACTAAAAAAGGTATTTAGAATTATTAAAAAGGAAAATCCCGATTTTATTAATAACGAATATTTTTAAATAGTACTTAAGTACTATAATAATATTATAAGGTTTAATAGGCTTATATTAATATTATTAATATTTAAAATATATTTAAGAACGATTTTAACTTTATTACTATTACTAAATATAAGCTAACGAGCCTAAGTAGTTAAAAAAGTAATATAAGTACTACGCGAGGTAAGTATAAAAAAATAAGTTAATAAGGTAATTATTATATATAATAGGCCTAATATAGGGGCTAATTTAAATATATTTTTAAATTTAAATATACGAGTTTAGTACGAAATTATTTAGTAATAGGCTAGGTTATATAAATTAATTTTTATTAACGAGCGGTTTTACGTAGTTACGAAAGATCGTAATTAGCTATTTAAAGTATTAATTATAATAATTAAATTATATTATATAGATCTTATTAAAATAATTTTTAATTTATAAAAAGAAAAAGAGCTAAAAGAAATAGTATAACTTAAAATAGAGGTATAAGAAATTATTTTTAATAAAATCGTCGTAGTAATATTAATAAATAACGAGGGAGAGGAAATTATTAAAAGGGTATTAATATTATTAGCGAGATAGTACGGAAGATTATAATAATAAGTATTAACATAGTAATTTATTATTAATAACGAGGTATTTAATACTTTTTATATAATAAAAAAGAAGGCTAATTTTGAGCTAGTAATTAAATTACGTAAGGAAGGTATTATTATAATTATTAAAAAGCTATATAAGGGATTAGATCTTATTAAAATAAATATTCTATACGATCGAGGGGTCTATCGATTTATCTTTTATAACCCCGAGAAATATAAAAGTCTCTATATATTTAAATTATAAATAGTATATAAAATTAAAAAAAAAAGGAATACCCTAACTATATAAGAAATTTAAGTATATAATTTAGGGGTATAGTAATATTAAAAAAGCGACGCTACTTACTTAATTACTTATAATATAATACTATAATTAATAATTAATAATAGTATTAATAATATTACTACTAAAAAAGGGATATAAGATTTAGAACTATAATATTATTTAAGCTTATACTTAATTAGCTATAGGGCTTATAAAGAAAATCCTAGCTTACTTATTAAAAGAAATAGTTAATAAGTACTTAAAAATACGATTATTAAAGTACTTAAACTATTATATAAATTTATAAAATCGGGTACTTATTAATAAGCTACTTATTATAATTTTTATACTAACTAATTATTAATAGTTATATTGACGTACGACCCGTACTTATTAATTTCTAAATACGAAGGTAAATAATTTAGAATTATTAAAATATAAACTAACGATATATTAGGCTTATTTAATATTAATTTTATAAAAAAAGAGGATAAAGAGCTTTAAAAAGCGGGCTTAGTAACTAAGCTAAAAAAGGTCCTTATAATAAATAACTTATTAGCGTTTAATAATAAGATTTTTATAATTAAAAAGGAAACCGTTATTTTTTTAATAAAAGGGGTAAAATAAGAAAATTACCCTTATTAACCCGAATATAATTAATATTAAAAAGTAATATAAAGCTAAGTTTATATAAGGGGTATATATTATAAATATATATTAGCCTAAAATAATTTTTAACTATATTAGAGTAGTATAAGCTATAAATTTAAATAAATAAGACGTTAAAATACTTAATAAGTAACTTAAGTAGTAATAGACGAATCTCGATCGAGGCCTCGTTTATTACCTAATTAACCTCGCTATTAATAAGCTCTACGTTTTTATTAATAAGTTATTTACGAATAACGACGACCTTATTTCGTAATTAGGATATATTATTATTTTAGTTAATTAGAGTATAAATAAGAGCGAATTTATTATATATAGTAATATAATTTATTATTTATTAATTAAAAATAAGTAAATAATAAGAAGTATATTAGTATTAAAAGTTTATAATATAGTTAATAATATTAACTTTACTTATACAATTTTAATAACGTTAAGGAGGATTATTAATAAACTTAACTTTTTACTAATTTTAATAATTATTTATACCGATTTTTATTTATTATATAAATACTTCGTTAAATTAAGAATAATAAAAAAAAAGAGGTTTATAATTAATATTATAACCTTTAGGTAATCGTATAAAAAGCATAAGATCCTTAAGATTTATTAAATTAATAATAATAATAATCTCGCTAATACTTTTATAAAAGTAGTACTTAATAAGGGGTTAGAGTAATTTATAAGTAATAGAAAAGTTAATATATAAATAAAAAGATAAGTTATATAAAAAGAGTAAAAAAAAAGGGGGAAAAGGAGATAACTTAATAAACGGGCCCGAGGTTAAATTATATTTCTAATTATAATAAGTAAATTAATAAAAAAAAGAGAAAGTTAGTATTAAATTAGAAATTTAATTTAATTATAGTATATAGTTAACTATATAGGGGCTAATTAGGGGCCCTATTTATAATTATCGTAACTAATTTAACTTATAATTAGAACCTCTTTTTTATATACTATATCAAAATTTATATAGTTTAATTAATCTCTTTATTAACCTACGGTTCGAACTAACTACCCTATAATAGGGATATTAATAAGAAGGGAGTGATGAGGGTTACCGCAAGGTTAGAGATGCTTATTTCAACGGCTTTATGTATGGAATAGCGCAAGATTCAGTGGCAAATAGGCGACAGGAAGGAGCAAAAGTTCAAGTTGCGCTGACAAAAGGAGAAAATATGATGTGGTAACATCCGTAGACCACCGATGGTGGCGCATCTTGGAGGTTCCAAAGTTACGCAAGAATTGCTCTTTAGTCTTTCACAATTGTAGCAACTTACTTCTCTCGTCTCTCAGCAATATTCTGCACTCGTCAAGCAACTGTCGTCTCCCCCTTTCGCTTGGAAGTCCTGGCCTGAGGTTGAAAACCACCTCAAGTTGACCAATTAGACGGCAGACTTCGGCATTGGTGTTTGTGGAGAGATATCCGCTTCTCTGAAGGACCCAATCGATAATCTCTCGAGTTATTTGGCTGCAAGGCAAATCAATGGTCTATCGTTTCGACTCCACCTACCTGAAGCAGGCTTCCTCTCAAGCCTAGCTTGCTTTCGAGGTTTGCATAACTCGTATTGATTGTACTCTTAGATTCACGCTGCCCTCCTCCAGACAAAGCGCCTGCTGTCATAGATGAATCCTTTGGTGGCCTGTATCCGTGATAATTAGCGAGTATCCGTAAGGGAAATCGTTGCACTATACGTTTGTGGGCGTCATGCCAGCCTGGAGAACAAGGGACCTTGATTGGCCGGAGATGAGTCGAAGAAGCTGGCCGTGTCACTGGCAAGAAGTGCGATGTCGAATCCGAGCTTATCAAGTATTGTCTCAAAGTTGTTGGTTGTTTACGGTATTGAGTGTAACCTTACCTGAGGCTAATTTGCAGGCGTCCTCGTATCTTTGACGAATATGGCGTGAGCGTGTTTGTACGGCTTGGCGTTACATGCCGCGTCGGACACCGTTCGGTCCAGGAGATTGGCGATGTGACTCCCGCTTACGCGGTACAATGCCGCCGCCTCGCTCGTGAACCGTCTATCCGTACTCCATCGCTGGCTCGGGTGCAAGGAAGCGGCCGACAGGGCTGCGGTGCGCAACGGAGTCCTGCAGTCTCCTGAATCTCGGTTTCTCTGATAACACTCCAGGGCGCAGCCACTGTGATGCTAGCGTCACAGACACCAAGAAGGCAGGTTCTAGAAATTGCGGATATGAAGAATAACCAATAGAAGGGTTCCGGCCCTGCTAGCATCCATTCCCGCTCTGCCGCCGGTAGGTGGGAGCCTGGATACAGCCTTCTAGTGGTGGGTTTGGTCCGTTGGGCTGTGATTTGTGCCGCCTGCCGCCATCGTTAGCCCGCAGATGAAGCTCTTTCGATGCCGCGGGATTAGGGGCTTCTTCCTTCGCTAGCTTGTGGCAATGACGAATGCTCCCTGAGCCTGTACCCTGGTTGCAGAGACTTCCATGGAGACGTAAGGAGGGCCCGAACCTAATATGATTGAGTATGAGCCATACTACGTACACAATACCGCAAGATTGATAGCTTTGATCGTGCGGGACGACCCCTGGAGTGAACAGCCAATTCTGATGGGTGTCCCAAACAAGAACACCGAAGACTCCACATATGCACAGTCCGTAGCGGCAACACGGCTTACAAATGAAGGAGGGTGCTGTCCGCGGTCTTGCAAGCGGACCCCGAAGAGCTTGAGCTAGCACTTGCGAACAAGCAAAATGTCCGCCTTGGCGGCAATGTTGGCTCTTTTCGTCACAACCAAAATTCCAATGCCGTGGCAACCACAGCTTCATGAAAGTCATCAGACATGACGTGCATCCCGTTTCGGATTGGTGTGTTCTTGTCAACTTTGTCGTTCGATGGTCCTTGAGGGTAGACTGAAGAATCGGTGTAAGTGGATGTAACGATGAACAGGGTGAATGGGGGAGGAATCTATAAGATTTATCGAAGCCCGCATCGTTCCAAGAGGTAGCAGTGTTTTTAATGTCTGTTTTGAGTGATGTGACGGTGCTTGTGCCTCATGGTGGTCGAGCCATGTCGTTGTAATTTAGTGTTGCACACCTTGGTGCTTGATGTAGTCAAAAAAGGGGGTCTTGGATGACTGAGAAGCTGGGGAAACAAGGTGCGGCAAGTTCCAAAAAAATGAAGACTAAATGAACGAATGGTCTTTTCAGTCTGGACATAAGCTGTCTTTAGACGTTGGGAATTTGGACTTCTCGGAAAAGCATACGGGGTCGACGGCGCCCGCTCGGGTCGCTTCAACTTTCCGAGAGCCCGTATAATGGAGACCGCCCCACACCTCCGACTTCCTAACAACGTTGCGGACTTTTTCGTGATGATCGCCGCCAAGGGAGCCGCCGCCATCGACCCACACTTTTCACTTACACGCGGGCTGCAGGCTATGACAAGATGCAAGAATTTGGATACCCTAATCAAGCTCCAGTGCTCAACCAACGTGTCTCTACGTCAACTTGTGAGATTGTGGCATATCTGGTGCACGGATGACCCGGGGCTCTGGATCTACTTTTGAGCCTTCGGATGCTGAGATGGACCCCTTGCGTATTATGGGCCGGGGACACACGGGGAGCGAGACACTCCGTTGACATGTTGATAAATCTAGATCTAGGCTTATTTTCATGATATGTTTCTAGTCTTCAACCGAAAGCTATTACATGGGCTTTCCTACCTTTTACACACCCACAACTTACGATAATATTTTCCCTCTCTTCATCTGACTGAGACTGTTCCCTCAGCGGCTATCACAACAAGCCGAGCGAACAACTGGTTGATGCTGACCGGTAGGCTTCCGCACACGTGATGTGATTGAGATATTGTTGACTGACAGAGCCTCTCGTGAAAATAGGATAGCAAGATATACTTGCAACCGCTCCATCAGCCAGCCATCTCAGGACATCCATATACCTTAATTTACCAACCGACAATATGTCCGCCTTTAACTCAGACGAGAAGTCTCGTCTGCCGACCCGTTCCCCGGCCGGCAGTCAGAAGACAGTAGTCGATCACGATGCAATTTTCACTCAAAACGCGGAAGCACTCCCGACCTCGAAGCCCAAGGACAACTCTCTGTACGAGAAAGCCGGCGATGGATCCGCTGCATCAACATCAGAAGATGACGGCAACGACACGGAACTAGAGCGTCGCCAGTCGATCGTGCAAGAACTAGCTCGGGAGTACACGCGACACTCCGCGGTCAACATCGATGGAGACAGCATGGCATTGTTCGGCAGCGAGGATCCGAATTCGCCCCTCAACCCGAACGGAAAGAACTTCAGCGCTCGCAAGTGGGCAAAGACTCTTGCCAATGTCACCAATGAGCACGGGTCAGGATATAGAACTGCTGGTTTTGTTTACCAGGACTTGAACGTCTTCGGATTCGGCCAAGAGACGGATTACCAGAAGGATGTCGGAAACGTTTGGCTCGAGATTCCTGGTCTCGTTCGCAACCTCACCTCGAAGACCGGAGGCCAACGCCGCATCGATATTCTCCGTGATTTCAACGGCATCGTAGAGGCAGGCGAGATGCTCGTCGTTCTTGGACCCCCAGGATCTGGCTGCTCTACCTTCCTCAAGACCATCGCTGGAGAGATGAATGGCATTTACACCGATGAGCGTGCCTACTTCAACTACCAGGGTCTTTCGGCAAAGGAACTCCACAAGCACCACGCCGGTGACGCCATCTACACTGCCGAAGTCGATGTCCACTACCCTCAACTTTCCGTGGGCGATACCCTCACCTTCGCGTCCCGTGCCCGCTGCCCACGAACCCTGCCCCCTGGTGTCACCGCCAACCAGTACTGCGACCACCTCCGCGACGTCGTCATGGCCATGTACGGTATCAGCCACACCGTCAATACCCGTGTGGGCGACAACTACGTCCGTGGTGTCTCTGGTGGAGAGCGCAAGCGCGTAACGATTGCCGAAGCGACGTTGTCCAATGCTCCTTTGCAGTGCTGGGATAACTCAACCAGAGGTCTCGACTCCGCCAACGCTGTCGAATTCTGCAAGACCCTTCGTTTGCAGTCCGAGTTGTTCGGCCAGACCTGCGCCGTCTCGATCTACCAGGCGCCTCAGAGTGCTTATGATCTGTTCGATAAGGTTGCTGTTCTCTACGAGGGACGTCAAATCTATTTCGGCCGCACCACCGAGGCCCGCCAGTACTTCATCAACCTCGGCTTCGAGTGCCCAGCCCGTCAGACTACCCCTGACTTCCTCACTTCGATGACGGCGCCTACCGAGCGTGTAATCCGTCCCGGTTGGGAGTCTCGCGTACCTCGGACGCCTGACGAGTTCGCTGCGTGCTGGAAGGAGAGTCGCGAGTGCGCGGCTCTCAAGCAGCAGATTGAGCAGTACAAGACGGATCATCCTTTGGATGGCCCGGATGCCGAAGTTTTCAGAAACCAGAAGCAGTCGGTCCAAGCCAAGAACCAACGTCTCAAGTCTCCCTTCATCCTCTCGTACGGACAGCAAGTGAAACTCTGCCTCTGGCGTGGCTTCAAATTGCTTAAGGGTGACCCCAGTCTGACACTGTTCTCCCTGATTGCCAATTCGTGCACGGCTCTCATCATGTCCTCCCTGTTCTACAACCTCCCGGAAAACACGTCCTCCTTCTACAGTCGATCCGCGGTTCTCTTCGTCGCCATTCTCGCCAATGCATTCTCCAGTGCTCTCGAGATTCTCACTCAGTACGCCCAACGGCCCATCGTTGAGAAGCAACGTCGTTATGCATTCTACCACTCCTCGGCGGAAGCCTTCTCCTCAGTTTTGGTGGACATGCCTTACAAAATCACGAATACCATCTGCTACGACCTGATCATCTACTTCATGACGAACCTGAACAGAGAACCCGGCAACTTCTTCTTTTTCCTGTTAACCACATTCCTCATGGTGCTGTCCATGTCTGGCCTTTTCAGATCTATGTAAGTCACTTTATCTCCGTACCAAGAGTGACTCTAACGCCAATCAGTGCCTCCTTGTCCCGCACATTGTCGCAGGCCATGGTTCCCGCGTCGATCTTGATTCTCGCCTTGGTCATCTTCACTGGATTCGTCATTCCCGTTGATTACATGCTTGGCTGGTGCCGATGGATCAACTACCTGGACCCTGTCGCGTACGGATTCGAATCGGTGAGTTGAAAGCCCAGCTATTTTAGTGAACGTCGACTAACCTGAATACTTTGAAGCTCATGATCAACGAGTTCCACAACCGGAACTTCGAGTGTGCCGCCTTCGTCCCCAGCCCTGCAGTTGCCGGTTACGAGAACATTACCCTCGCCAACAGAGCCTGCTCCACTGTCGGTGCCGTTCCTGGCGAGCCGTTCGTCAACGGTGACAGATACATCAACTCCCAGTACAAGTACTTCAACTCTCACAAGTGGCGCAACATCGGAATTCTCATCGCTTTCATTATCGCCCTCCACGCCTTGTACTTCATTGCCACCGAATACATTGCCGCGAAGAAGTCCAAGGGAGAGGTTCTTGTCTTCCGTCGTGGTGTTGCTGCCCCTGTCAAGGGCAAGGACGACCCCGAATCCTCTCTCTCTGGACCCGCTACCATCGTCGAGAAGGGCGGACAAGGTGCCTCCGCCAACGAGGGTGCGATCCAAGGCTCCACCAGTGTTTTCCACTGGGGTAACGTGTGCTACGATGTCAAGATCAAGACCGAAACCCGCAGGATTCTGGACCATGTGGATGGCTGGGTCAAACCTGGAACTCTTACGGCTTTGATGGGTGTCTCTGGAGCTGGCAAAACTACCTTGCTTGATTGCCTGGCAGACCGTGTCTCCATGGGAGTAATTACCGGAGAGATGCTGGTTGATGGAAAGATCCGGGACCAGTCCTTCCAACGCCGTACTGGCTACGTTCAACAACAGGACCTGCATCTCGAGACCAGCACTGTTCGTGAGGCATTGGAGTTCAGTGCTCTTTTGCGCCAGCCAGCCACCACCCCTCGCGCTGAGAAACTGGCATACGTCGACGAAGTCATCAAGCTTTTGGACATGCAGGACTACGCTGACGCCGTTGTGGGTGTCCTCGGCGAGGGATTGAACGTCGAACAGCGCAAGCGACTTACCATTGGTGTGGAACTGGCTGCTAAACCCCCCTTGCTTCTTTTCGTCGATGAACCTACCTCTGGTTTGGATTCGCAAACGTCATGGGCTATCCTGGATCTGCTTGAGAAGCTCTCAAAGGCCGGCCAGTCTATTCTTTGCACTATTCACCAACCGTCTGCCATGTTGTTCCAACGCTTCGACCGTCTGCTGTTCCTGGCAAAGGGTGGCAGAACCGTATACTTTGGCGACATCGGCGAGAACTCCCACACCCTTACATCCTACTTCGAGAGGAACGGTGCCCCTGCCTGCCCTCCTGGCGAGAACCCGGCCGAATGGATGCTTTCTGCTATTGGCGCTGCCCCCGGATCACATACCGATGTCGATTGGCACCAGGCATGGAAGTCCAGTCCCGAGTATGAGGCTGTTCAAGAGGAACTTGGCCGCCTCAAGACTCAAAGCCCGCCCCAAGAGCACTTGTCCGCCGAAGAAGAGAAGTTGGCACACCGCGAATTCGCCGCACCGTTGTGGGATCAATTCCTGATTGTCACTCGCCGTGTCTACCAGCAGTACTGGCGTACTCCCTCTTACCTGTACGCCAAGTTCATTCTCTGCTGCTCCGTTGCCCTCTTCATCGGTCTGGTATTCCTCAACGCACCTCTCAGTATCCAGGGCTTGCAGAACCAGATGTTCGCTATCTTCAACATTCTTTCCATCTTCGGTCAGCTCGTGCAACAACAGATGCCGCACTTCGTCACCCAACGATCTCTTTACGAAGTCCGTGAAAGACCTTCCAAGACTTACAGCTGGAAGGTGTTCATGATGTCGCAAATTGTTACTGAGATCCCGTGGAACTCTCTCATGTCCGTCTTCATGTTCATCTGCGTCTACTACCCCGTCGGTCTCTACGAGAACGGTGACCCAAGCCAGAAGAGTGAGCGCGCTGGTCTCATGTGGCTCCTGTTCTGGCAGTTCATGATCTTCACCTGCACTTTCGCCCATGCCTGCATCGCCATCACGGACACTGCTGAGATGGGTGGTAACCTCGCCAACGTCCTGTTCATGATGTGTCTGCTGTTCTGCGGTGTCTTGGCCAGCCCTGACGCCATGCCCGGCTTCTGGATCTTCATGTACAGGGTGTCCCCGTTCACCTACCTCTTGTCATCAATTCTCTCAACAGGTCTGGCAAACTCCAAGGTGACGTGCTCGACGAACGAGTACATCCACTTCGACCCGCCAAACAACCAGACTTGCGAGACTTACATGGAAGGGTACATTGGTTCCATGGGAGGCTATATCAAGGACCCATCTGCCACGGCTGACTGCCAATTCTGCTCTATCGCCGACACCAATGTCTTCCTCAAGGGTATCAGCTCCAACTTCGACAACAGATGGCGCGATTTTGGTATCGGCATGGTGTACATTGTCGTCAACATTGTCGCTGCTTTGGGTCTCTACTGGCTGGTCCGCATGCCCAAGGGCAAGAAGAAGGCCTAAGCCACGACAGAAGCGCTTCAGGAGAAGCCAATCATTCCGCCACTTTACAGTAAATGACTCTACCGCATAGCCAGTCTCTTTCATTAATCAGATACATTTTACATCGACATCATGTACCTTAGGGGTAATGGGCATCATAGAATTTTCTAGTTTTAGGTTGAGGTTACATATTAGAGCTCTCGCAAGACTTCCATAGTCCCAATCAAATCAGTCAAATGAATTAAAGCTGTCCTTGCCTTTGTCTCCTTGTGGCCGAAGACCCATTTTAACGCATCATGCCTGAAGACAATTGTAGAAACAATATCATGAACACATATGCAGGTTTCTATTCAGTTGGTCGCTGTGGGCTTTTGGCAATGATGACTGAGAAGAGGCAGCCTTTAATACCCCGGGTGCGTGTAAGCACGTCTCAATGCAAGGATTGCTTCGCCCGACCTCCAAGCATCTGATGTCAGTCGCTACCCCAATTATTGACTCAACCCATCAGAGTCAATGTCGCAAAACATTTACAAAATACAAGGCTTACCTTGAGACGACGGGTAATCATTTCCACAACTCCTCCCATTTGCCACTGCCATTATTTGATACATGTACGTACAAATTACCTCGGGGCCAAGCAATGATCCCCCCTCACGCTCTTCCCGCGGTCCCCCGCATCATCGTTGCTTTGACACTCGGCATTTAGAGGTCGATTGCTTATAAGTGCTCGGTCGGATGTTCATTGGAGCAAAGTGTTGCGATGGGAGATAACATTTGACTTGACCTCGTCATATTTTCATCAAACGACAGCTCAATCTCACCATTTGTGGTCACTCGCTCAAAAGTATCTCAAGCATTCATGTAAGCGATGGCTTTCCAAGTGAGACAACCCAAGAATCGAGAACTTCTCGGCGGAGACCTTCTCGCTCAGTCCCTAGCTCATCTGGGCGCGACAACTGCGTTCGGTATACATGGTGAGTTTCTCTATGCAATAAACCGTTTCGCTTCTCTAGGCTAATGCCTAACCCATAGGGGGGCACCTGGACAGCTTCCTCATCGCCGCCGTCGAAGCCGACATCAAGCTCATAGACGTGCGGCACGAGACCGTCGCCGTCCAGGCCGCCGAAGGCTGGGCCAAGGTCAAGGGCAACGACGCCCCCGGCGTATGCTTCATCACAGCCAACTCTGGCTTCTGCAACGGACTACCAGGCCTCAGCACCGCCTTCGCGGACCGCTCCCCAGTATTCTGCATCACGAGCTCGCCGCCGCTGCGCGATGCGGAGACGAATACCCTCCAAGGGTTCCACGACCAGGTCGTCCTGGCGAAACCCGTAACGAAGTTTGCGCACCGGGTCACCAACGGCAGCGAGATCCCGCGCATCGTGAGCTTGGCTTGGAGAGCGACGACGGCGGGGGCGCCTGGGCCGGTACTCGTGGATTTTCCCATCGATGTGCTCTTCACGCCTGTAGAGATTGACAGCGTGGCTTGGGGTTCCATCACCGCGCCGCCGGTATCGCTTCCCGCCCCTGATGCCGGCGCGGTCGAGCAGGCGATGAGACTCTGGGGAGAGGCGAAGCGCCCCGTGATCTTAGTCTCGACTGGTGCAGCGAGGGCCGCGGACGACGTAGTGAAGCTCGCAGAAGCGACGAATACTCCGATTTTTCACTCACCCAAGTTTTCTACGACCATCAAGCGCTCGCATCCTCTTTTCGGTGGCGTGGCGACTCGGCTTCCGTTCTTGCGCGCTCAGGGACCGGCTCCGGATTTCGTTCTTCTGCTGGGGGCCAGGACTGGCTTCTTGATCGGCGGTAGGAGCGGTGCAATTGTGCCGAACGAGAGTGAAGCCAAGGTTGTGCAGGTTGACCTGGACGGGAGCGAGATTGGACGCTCGAGAAAGATTGATGTGAGATACTTTCCCCGTCAATGTTCATGAGTTCAGGGGAGAGGACTGGTCATGCTGACTAGAATGAGTACAGGTCGGTATCGTATCGGATGTCGGGCTTGCAGCTCAGGCTCTCACAGCTGCGGCATCCGAGTCGTCCGTCAAGGCCACAGGTGAGTGGGTGGAAAAGGCCATGGCGTTGAAGAAGCCGAACGTTCACTCGGCCGGAAATGAAGAGGACCCGGTGATCATCGAGGAAAATGACCGGATTCACCCCTACCATGGCGTGAAGGCTTTCTTCCAATCCCTGCCCGAAGACAGCATTCTTTGCGTGGACGGCGGCGAGTGCGGCGGATGGGCTCTGCAATCTCTGAACGAGGCGAGGGCGGGACTGTCAATGGTGACAACCGGATATCTAGGCTTCCTGGGCAACGGGTTTGGATACTCGCTTGGTTTGTGACTCATTTCTACCTGTAGAAGCACCATTGCTGACTCTTAGAAAGGTGCCGCCGTCGCCGCGCCAGATAAGCTAGTCGTCAACCTTCACGGAGACGGCAGCGCAGGCTTCCACATTGGCGAGCTCGACACCTACGCCAAGTTCGGCCTCAACATCCTCACGGTCGTGGTGAACAACAGCGTCTGGGGCATGTCGCAGGCCGGACAGAACATGATTTACGGGGAGAAGACGCCGCAGCGGCCGTGCGTGGCGATGAACCCCAAAGTCAAGTACGAAGTCGTCGCGCAAGGGTTCGGGTGCGAGGGGGCGGTGGTGGACGTAGTCAAGGAGAATGGCGCCAGCAATGGGCCCAAGACGTTGGAGTCCGTCAAGGTTGCGGTGAAGACCTTGACGAGCGCGAGGCAGCCTTCGCTGCTCAATTTGAAGGTTTCTGATGTGCCGTATCAAAATACCACAAAGGCTATGGTGAGTTTTGTCCTGTCTTCTCCCTTGAATTGATGGATATGAAGCTCATACGGCGTCTAGGTCGGAGGAAGTAGTGATCCCAACATCATTGTTGTACCGTATTACGACAATCTTCCCAGACCGTACTATAAGCAGTCTGGGAATGGTGTGGCTGCGTCTGCGAATGCAACATCGGTGTCGAAAGAGGAGAGCTTCGTCGAAGGCCACGGTACAATTCAGTAAGAAGCCTAGCAAGTATTGACTTAAGGTATTGGTAAACTAGTGTACACGATGGCTTCGGCGAGAATAGTGCAGAATGAGCTCTAGTCCTGTGACGAACGAAACTTCATCGAGCTTATACCAGCTTTTGTTCCATCATAACCTCTCGTGCCGTCCTGCATAACTTTCGTGAATTGAGTGTCATACCGCGTAGCAAATCTCGCAACATGTGATTGAACGAGCTCTGTTGAAACGACTTCCGGATGCTTCCAGGCTCATGGTCTTTGACGTTGACGTAAAGACCGTTGCTGTAGATATCCGTCTCGTCGCCGAGATGTACCATCCACTCCAAGTCTCTCGGGGATTTGCCCGTGCCAAAGTCATACCACAACGTCACGCGTAGCACGTCGTCGTCGCGCAGAATCGAGTAGTCGACCGGGCAACATTGGCAGTGGCCATCGTACACGTTTCCCGGATGATGCCACGCCGCCTCCATATTCTTCTCAAACACGCCCCAGTCCTTGATGCCCCAGTACCACCACGGGAACAGCTGGTGTCGACAAATTCTAAAGGATCGAATCTCGTGGAGAGCTTCGTACCCATGAAATTCCTTGATGACTTGGAGACAAAATCTGCCCTCGACGATTCTCGGTATGTGGATAGTCACATTTGGCGAGCCCGACTTCCAAGATTCAGCTCCTCGGTACGTCCTGTATTCGCAAGGTTCCAGGAGCTCCGAGAAGTAGGCAGTGTTGGTGCCCATGCGCCTGAACTTGAGCGCGAGTTCGATGTGGGTGTGCCGGAGCTTGTAGGATCGGCCGAGGGTATCGAGGGTTTCTCCCTGCTGGCATGGCGGCGATTGTTGGCTACGAGGCGTGTCCGAACGGTCTGTTGCGTGGAGTGCGCAACAGCGCGCGCAGACCCAGTGATTCGGCAGCTTGTAGGCCACCGCGGCCCAGAATGATATTTGTTCAGATGCGGGTAGGGCTAGCGAGGCATCCTTCCAGTCTTTTTGTGTGAGGATCCGACCGGCGCGACAGGTCCGCGAAAGCATGAACTGGCTCAGAAGATCGAGATAGCTAATGATCTCTTCCAGTAATTCAATCGAAATTCTGAGAAGGTAGGCTTTTGTGGATTGTTGTTTTGGTCCCATTAGCTTGTTGACGCAACGGCTTTCGAAGGCAATAGCTCGTTTCCACAAGGGGTTTCGAGGCCGAGTGGAAGGCTCGTCGGCCATCCTAGCTGGTTCAAAATGACAGGAAGGTGTAAGTTGTCATACTGAGGCTGGACGTCGGACCCAAGTTGAAAGTGCGGCATGCTAAGACTAAGAGTAACTGGAAGATATTAATAGTCTTGGGGAAAATCGCGCTCAACGTAAACCCTTTTTAGGTTCAGTCGTGTCATTGATATATGCACGAACGCTCAAAAGACTGTTGAAACTTGGCAGGGCTTTTGCTCAAATGCAATGGGGTGGATCAGCCGATCAATAGTCTTCAGCCTCGTTACCTCGATAATGGTATCGGACATCAAGGGACATACACATCTTTGCATACGACTACACCTTCTGAGCTTTCGGCTAAACTCAAAAGACCATCAGAATGCTGAATACGGTAGCATTTTCCAACGGCGGCCTACGCCACCTGTTGGAACATGCCATCTCTCAACGAGGGCAGATGCCCGGTCTGACAGCTCAGGAGCTATGTAAGTCGCAGACTCTTCTGGTGAAACCATCTTGAGCTCTGAAGAGCCATACAGTCAGCCTCATAATGCGCTCGAAGGATGATCTTGAAAAGAATAAACAAATCCTTACATCAACCGATAAGTGAGAGGCAACAACATAAAATGCGTGTTTGTTACCTGCTGGTCATGATGCATACAATCACTAAAGAAATTTTTTTTTCGCTCAAAGCCACCAAGACTATGGAAGGATACGAGAGGAGGACGAAACTTGTCTGGATAGCACCACTGTTGGATCGTGGAGACTAGGAAACGATCCCATCATGATCCTCAGGAATGGGCTTTACTATCGGGCCGCACCTCAAGTGGGTTGCAACCCTTTTTGTAACACATCTCTTTCTTCAAAGCTCCCCTTTTAAGAAGCAAAGTTCTTAGAGTTCGCTCTGTGTCCGTGTCAAAAGAACGACAGACTTGATAGCAGAGACGCCCAAGGGGCAAAGCAAAAACAAAACAAACAAGGCAGATCTCCAGCCCTCTTCAATACTAACTCTAGTGATTAATAAGGTAGATGGTTTTATATAAGGTAAGATAAGAAAAGAAGAAAAGGTATGAAATTCTACATCCTAGTTCGTACTAGGCATATTATATTCATTAACAAATAAACTCACGAGGCAGGAAACTAATAAAGAATTATTATAGCCTCTATACCCTTACTCATACTGGGCGTATCTATTAGTGGATATACCCACGAGGTAAGAAGTTAAGGGAGAAGCACGGTAGTCCCGTACTCTCGTTCAGACTAAACGTATCCGTCAACGAATACGTTCACGAGGCGAACTATTAATAAGCCGACGTGGTAGTAATTACTCTTGAGACTATTAAAAGGCTCTAGGGAAACGCAAAGGGGTACATGCCTCCACGACCGGGGCAGCAAGATCTCTGAGATTCGCAAAATAAGATGAGGCACCAGTACCTTCAAAGCCCGGAATGGCATTGTTGCTTGGAACACATTGCGGCTGGAGAGCTTTCGTCACGTACCTGAGGTATGATCTATATAGACGTTCGGCTCAGTGGTTCGGGGAACATGGTATTGACCATGGAAGGATTTAGGCGAATGGTTTGAGGGAAGAATTGCTTCGTCAATCATAGACTACTCATTAGACATTGTCATCTACCTCTCGTTCTAAACGCTCAGAATACTGGCTTCCAAAGCAAGGCCGTGCAAGGGGGGTATAAAGAACTCTTGAAGCAAAAAACCACGACTTCACCCAATCCAGAATCCAATCAGCCCGTCATCTCCATGGATCTAAAGCCCATTCTCTCTTACCCACCACGCCGAATCCAGAGACAAGTCGAGGCGACCTAGGCCCTTGCAGATGAAGAAGTGGGATGAGTAGCAGCAGAAGAAGCTGCAGCCGTGTCCTCCCTCGTCCTCTCCTCCGCCAACGTCTCCATCACAGGCTCCTCCCTCCCCTCCTCCTCACCCTCGCCACTCCTCTGGCCCGCCGGCACCTGCGGCGCCAGATTCAGCTTCCGCAGCAACTTGACCGCAGCCTTGTTCTCCTCCCTCTCCTCGGCCTCCTTCTCAAGCACTTTCCGCTCCTTAGCCGCGCTCTCGCTCTTATCCTTGGCCTCTTCCTCGCGCTTCCGGAACTCTTCCGGCTCCATAATCTTCTCCTTCTTGTGCGTCATCTTCTCGATCGCCTTCTTGCCCTTTTGCCGCGACTTGACGTAGACCTCGAGCCCGACGAGCACGGCGTAAGATTTCGATATCGAAACGTGGGACGTGTCGACTTTCGCCTCCTTGAGGTTCTTGACGAAGGCGCGGAAGTTGGACGCCGGAGGGCGGTAGTGCCCGCTGAGCGGCGACAGGCTCGACAGCCGCCCGTCCTTGATCTTGATGAGGCCCGCCGAGGAGATGCGGCTGCCCTGCAGGAAGCTCGAGTGCTGGAAGGCGCCCGACGCCTTGATGCCCACGTACAGGCGGAAGCTCGTGTCCGCGACAAAGATCCACGTGTTCTTTTTGACCGACTTGCGCAGCATCTTGTTGAAGATTGTCGCTGCTGAGATGTGCGATACCTTCTTCATGCCCGTTGCGCCGTCGACCTCGGGCGTGGCGTACTTTGCCGCGCGATCTGCTTCCAGTGCTGACTCTACCGAGGATTCGGAGCGGCTATCGTCGGGGGCTTCGGCTCCGGGTGACGTTTGCGGTGTGTTGTTCTGCGACCACGCCGGCGTCGGGTCGTCTGCGGGCACGATGCCGTGGATGCTGTCCTTGAATGCCTCGGTCGTGTCGATGCGCGCGCCGTTCTTGGCCCAGCATAGCCGTCCCTCGTCGTCGACTTGCACCAGGTAGAATTGCCTCTCCTCGCGGGACAGATAGCGCACCTGTTCCCTCTCGAGACGGTCGCGGGGACACGCCTCCATCTCGACATTCTTTCCGCCGCCGTAATCGAGCCAGTAGAAAAAGTTCTCCGTTGTGTCGGACTTTTTCCATTCCTCATGGTACACGCGCAAGTTACTCCCGTAGCGGTGCTTGAGGTCAACCATCTCTAGGAAATACTGCAACCCCATCATCTTGGAATCCTTCTTCCTCCTCGCTACGGCCTCCTCGCGCTTCTTCTTTTTCTCGGCCCTCTTCTCAGGCGTATCTGATTCAGACGAGGACGCAGAGGAGTCTGAGTCGGACTCGACATCATCGTGCCCCGCGCGCCGCGCAATCGTCGCCGCCTTCCTCCAGTTCTCACGAGCTGTTGACGGACGACTCATGCCGCCCTCCTCGTCTCTCGAAAGCACGCTGTGTCTGTCGCCGGTGGGAGACAAAGCAGCAGCGCCGACAGAGCTCTTTGCGCGCGGCCGGTTCAGCTCGCGGAACTGCAGCTCGTCAATGGCCGAGACCCATCTCGTCGATGCGTTCAGCCCCATGCCCTGCATCTCCCTCCGCACGCGATAACCCCGGTAGTTGCGCTGGATCAGCGCCGCGGCTCTGTTGATCGCCTCGCTGTCGCCCTGATCACCCTCTTTGGCTGAAGCTGGCGGTGGATCTTGCGACATTATTTGCGCTTCGTCGAAAATGTCCCCGGCAGCGTCACCTTGTCCGTCCTGTGAGCGCCGGACGTTGTGGAAGTGGTCGTGGAGGTGTTGTGTCTGGCGCTTCGACTTATTCCTCTTTAGCTCCTCCTCGCGCGTGCGCTGTACCTCTGCAATCTTTTCAAATTGATCTTGGGACGGCGGGACCAAACTGTCCATGTACTCCTGGCGAGAACTGTAGTTTGTGCTCGTCTGCGACTGCGCCAATGAGCATGTGTCGTCACTAGGGGGGGCCGTTGCAGAATCAGCCGTGTGAGTGGTGGCTGCCGTGGTGGCGGTTGTATCTGTAGTGGTAGTCGCAGTAGCAGCAGGGGAAAATATGGAGTGGGATTCGTCTTCTTCGTCGACAGGTCTTGGCACGGGGGGACTGGCCGGCGGGGTAATAACGGCGGCGGCGACACCGTTAAAAGGAGCATCCTTTTGGTGAAGAAGAGGGGTCTTTTGGGGTGGTGGTGGTGCAGACGCAGACGTAGGCGCAGACGAGGCAGAGGCGTCGCTCGGAGACACGGCACCGCCACCAGAAGCAAGTTGCTGGGCTGGAACCGGTATAGAGTCGAGCTCGTGGGCGGGTTTCGTCATGGCGGTTGGTGGAATGGCGGGGTCCGCCCGGTCGTGACGAAAGAGTAGGGATAGAGATCTGATCCGAGAGCCGGTTGGCGCAGGCATCAGGCCTATTTCTATGTGTCGGTTTATGTATGTGTGCGTGTGTGTGCAAGTGTGTGTGTGGATTAGGTGAGTTGCGTTCGGTGGTCTGTTTCGTTTCGAACTATGACTTTCTTGCTGCTAGCTGGGTTTGGAGCTTGTGTTGGTTCCAAGGTTGGTGTTTCTTCGGAGACAGCAACAGCGACGTCACTTTCCTTGACAGCTGTTTGAGGTAGTCACTCGCAAGGTTGAGGGTGGAACGGAGTCAGCAGCTTGAGCGTGTAATAAAGCGCAGGAGCCATAAGATGGAGCGGAGATGGGGTTGAAGTAAGCATATAATGATTACTATCCGTACGGCTGTAAGAACATGGATGTCAAGGTACTTGAGTAAGGTAAAGCAGAACGGGAAATTGTGCGGTCTCAAATTGGAAGAGAAGGAGAAGGAGGGAAAGCAAAAAGCAGTGTGAAGAATGCGCCCAGGAGGAGTGACCGATCGAGAAATATATTGCATTCGTGGGGCGCTCTCAGATCCTCGCCGGTGGCATGGGATTAAATCTCGGCGACGCCTTAATGACAAGACAATGAACAGAGTCTACTGGAAGGAGGAAAAAACACTACGCAAAAAAAAAAAAAAAACACTTGCCCGCCTTGCATCATGAGGTACCACGGGGGACACCCTTGCCGGTGGGGTGGAAGAGTAAGGCTTAGGGGCGACGGCAGTGCCAAGTTGTCAACTGTTTCTGGACAGCATAAAAGCAGAAAACTCAGTGATCAATTTTGCTCAGCCGACTACCGCTGGCGTGTATACCACACCGCGGGCTGTGACGC